GTCAAAACCTGTTATTGACGGGCCCATGATCGACAGCAGTCCTCAGACAATATATGACACGGCCAATTATGTCGCCCATGGTAACCGGGCCGAAAGTTCGACTATCATGGGCTTCCTGCTATACGTATGACCATTTGCAAGGAAAAAATCATACTAAAATATTGATCATCGATAAATGTATGCTGCTAAATGAAGACAGGTATATATACCGGACCATTAAATTTCAGTCGACTATACAAAACACGTATCTATAAGTGAAAAGTACGAGCACAAGGGAAAAATAAAATAAAAAAATTACGAGCATATTTAGGTTTGTTTTTTTATCAGACACTCTAAAGTATATGGTAGAAAAAAGTATCCAAAATCAACAAAATCCATTGAAAACATTAGAAAATGACGATTTTTCGTAACCAAACTAACGTACTTGGCATCGAACTATAAGAACCAACTTATGATCAGTCACAAGAACAATCACACACAAAAGCTTTTTCCTTTATGAGAACTAACCCTATCCAAGAAAAGTTGCTAGCAACAATTTAAACTATCTTTACATGAAAGACCGGTCTCTCTTAAGGCATTTATTATGTGCGTTCTTCGTAGAAAGCCACTAGAAGTATCGAAAGAGAATATACCGTGGGCTTTAAATTTTGATTGTCGGCCAATACCCAGCACTGATCCTTTTCGAGTAGAAAAGGTTCGTCCTTCTCATCAGTCGACGCCATCTCATATCCTTCAATAGCAGCTAATCTCCGAACAATATAATTGTTTGAATTTATTGGGTCCTTTAGTACTACCACATCTCCAACATGAACTCGACTACCACAGACAAAGATGAAATTACATAATTGATAAGTTATAATGTATTGTAGAATCAAATTGACCAGATTGGACAAGTGAGATTATAGGTAACTAATTTCTTCTTAAAGATAAAATAAACCTACAAACAGTGAAACACTATCTACCTCTTCAATTTTTTTATTTTTTTTTTCCCTCATTTGCTAAAAAAATTTCATGCTAACCATTAGTTTCTACTTTCAATAACTGAATCAACTCTATGGAAACATGGTTTACATCATATATTTATCAAAGCACAATATTGTTAAGAACTGCTGCGGCATAGAAAGCAAATGAGAAAACAAGAGTTCTTTAAAGACAATGATATCCAAACTTAGAAGAAAATGTTTGAGCAAAGTCAACCGTGCTCACCATTATGAGGAGAAAATAAATACTTTTGCATCGACTGAAAATCACTATTCAAACTTGTTAAGTCTATAACTCCACTAAAATTCAAATAAAATTACTGTAGAGTACTCTATCTGGAAAGACACAAATACCCATCTCATAACCCTTCCTGTTTAATGCGTTCTACCAAAATGGTCGAGTCCAAGTTCATTAAACAAAAAGGCAAACTTTGAATTCAGGCCAAGAATGAAGGACTAAAAGAATTATGAGAATTGAGAAGTCATATTCATAAAAGATAAAGGTTATAAAGACTATGATTGGTAAACTAATGAGAAAAGTAAACAAATGTTTTCAGCAGCAAATTTAGAGAAATAACAATAAGTTAATGCAAACAAAAAAAAAAAAAAATCAGAATGGAAAGCAATACGTAGGATCTGCAGCTGGAATTTTCCGAACAAGAAGAGTTCCACCATAGCGGCCAACCATTGGGGCCATCTCTCTTCCTTTATTCCAATGCAAAAAAGTCAACTTTCCATGGAATACATTCCTCCATATTGTATCGAGAATTTCGGTATCTGCAATTTGACCTTGTATGTAGGTCTGCAATTACAAGGTTTTCTCTCAGCACATATATATGAAGAAACACATGACTGCAGTTGGGCAAGGTGATGTGCAAGAGAAGTTAAAAAGAAACTATTTTTAGAGTAGGCCCAGAACAATCCACAGAAAATATGGTCGAAGCAAAACAAAAGGATAAAAACTTTCAAAACAATTGAACAAAAAGTTATATATATTCACCTGATTAAAATACCACAAAGTATGGAAAATTGATTAGGATAACCTTTTCGTAATATCTTTTAGTGAACAATCAATCAGCAAAAAACGAAGCATATAATACTCCGTCCTCTGTTTTTCCATAACATCGGCCCAAGGCACTCTTTCTCACACATAACTTTAATGATTGGGAACAAAAATAAGTTTTTGGTGTGAGTCAGAATTAGAGTGTTCAATTGACAAGAATCAACCAGGAATTTGAAAGAGATACAGCAAATCGAATTTACTGTTTTTTGTCGTTCCTCAAATCTTCCTTCCCATAACCGCTTTAAGATTTATGCTCATCCAATAGCCCAAACAAAATTCAAAGAACATATCTTCAATGGAAAATTTCACACATAGACGAAAAAGAAAAAATGCAGAGAGATCATGAATCTAAGTATAACATGTCAAAAAAGAAAAGAAGAAATGTCAAATCCACAAACAAATCCCCAATAATCTCAAGCAAAAAGCACCTTGACTCAACGCACAAATTAAAACAACATTGCAAGTTCCAATCTTTAAGAATAAATCAATAATTTAATTTACTGATTTTCATCCTCAAATCTTGTTACTCCTATTTCAGCTTAAGGTTTTATACCATCCAAGAGCCCAACCAAAATCAATAACCTCTCTTCAATGTAAATTTTCAGACATAAATGAAAAAGAAAGAAGCAGAGAGATGATGAATCTAAGTACAACATGTTAAAAAAAGAAACAAGAAAGGTCGAATCCACAAAGAAAAATCCCAACAATCTTACGCAAAAAGCACCTCGACTCAAGGCGCAAATTAACACAAAAACCTGCAAGTTCGAATCTTTAAAAAGGGGGCATCAATTCACACACAAACAAAATGAAAAGATTAGAAACTCAATTTTTTTAAGGAATTTGTGAAAAAAAAAAAAAATAAGCACAAGCTTTAGAACAACAAGAAAGGAGGCTGCTCATTCGTTCACCTTTCGGCTGAGGGACACAGAATACTCGAGTTTGCTGGCCAAGTATCGAAACCATGTTGACAACCCAACCATTTGCGAATTTGTGTTTCTATCTTAAGAAGAATTATAGTTCTTGCCTGCACTTCACTTTAAACCCTTGAAGAAATTTGTGGCGAATATGTTGCAGAGGGTTATTTTAATTTGTTGAACAAAGCTAAATGTGGACATTTGAGCTATTTATTTTTTATTAAAAATGGAGATAATTTCCATTTATTTTGAAATTAAAAATAAAATGGAAATTACAATAAATGAGAGATCAATCGAGTACATTTCTTAGTACAATTTATGGATTATTCAATCGAATTTATCGTTTTTACAATAAATGAGGAGTATTTATAGTATGAAACTCACGAGTACGGTTCTTCAAGGATTTTTGGTCGGCTCCTTTTTGATGGGATAGCCGAGTTCTTCACGGAACCGTCGTATACACCGAGCTACTTCATTGTCTACTTTCTAGGTTGGATTGTGTGAGTCGTTCACTGTCCAGTAAACGGGTATGACCTTTTATTTCGGCCTACCTTTTAAAGTTGAATTGTTTGTATACGATGTCACATTTATACGGTTAAGGGTGGCGCTAGTTCGAATGTCTAACAACTTCATATAAAAAAATATTTAGTATAATGAATAGCTATTTGATGACTTCATATACAAAATGTTGAGCATAAATATATAATTTTTTACTTCTATTTAATTTATATCAAATGGGAATACCTTGTATTCAAATGCCATGTTTTTTCTTTAAAGAATTTATTTACTGCTTAATTTCTTTATAGAACTCTTAAAACTAATTAAATCCACATGTATACACGGTGAGCCTGCCTTATTTTTTTAAAAAGAATCCATAATAATTTCTCACTTACCTCAAGAATGACTCAAATTCGAATTTATTGGTCTCAAGCAAAGGGTGCTGTCAAAACCTGCTTTAATACAAATAATATTACATATTACAAAATTATGACGAGTCTACTCACATGACGGTTAGTCTGCGGAAGACGATAATTTATATTATCTAGAAATAGCAATTTTGTAATTTTTTTTATTTTTTATTTCTGTTGTCTGTTATAGTTATCAATCAACGCGTTCCATCTCATAATCAGTTAATCACCATTAACTTCCAACACGTTGCCAATGGTCCAAATATTAGGCCCCTTCACCATTTCCGTTATAGTGTCATTTCCCCCCTTCGTAATTACACGAAAGCACCACAAAATCAAGATCATTCATTTCGTTGCGTTAATTACCGGCCGGAGCTCCGATTCCCGGAGGTCGGAACCCGCCCGTCACAATGCAGGAGCAAATCTACACCGGCGACGCCTTCAGCGAACCGGAAACCGAGGAGGACGACGAAGAAGATGACAAAGAACATCAAGGACCCGACCCGGCCCCGATGAAAAGATCCAAAAGCAAAGCCCTGCTGGAGTTCCGGTTCCGTGTCAAGGAAGCCATCGTCGCCGGCAACCTGTTTGTGAAAAGTCCCCAAAGAAATCTCCCCAGAGAAAACGCCAGCCTCTGGGGCGTCCCGCTCTTCCCCAGCGCCGGCCACCACGCCACCGACGTTATCCTCATGAAATTCCTCAAAGCCAATCGATACAAGGTGCACGAAGCCTTCATGTCCCTCCGCAAGGCCTTGAAATGGCGGGTCGAGTTCTGGCCCGACGAGAAGTCTGGAGAGGATCCCATGACAAGGCCGGAGTTGAGCAGCCTGTGGTTCACCAGCGGCAGGGACAAGGAGGGCCGGCCTCTGTGCTACAGTATTTGGGGCAAAGAGTCTCAAAATGCAATCTTGGCCTGGATTGGCGGCGGGGATATGAAATACAGCCAGCAGTGTCTGATGTGGAGGGTGCTGTGCGTGGAGAGGGGGATAAGGAGCCTCGATTTCGGTCCTGGGGAGGCAAACTCAATCGTGCAGATCATTGATCTGGAGAATTCAATGGGGCCAGCGAAGAAGGAGGTCAAGATGATCGACAAGAAGATGATTGGTCTGCTCCACAATTGTTATCCGGGCATCGTATACAAGAATGTAAGTTACGAAGCAATTTTTGGGCATTGTTCTTGATCTCTAATTTTTTTTCAAGAATTTTGGGTTTGTAGTGTAGTTGTTTTTTTATGGGAGAATGGAAACTAGCGCGAAATGTGATATAAGTTGCATGCTGACGTGGAAATATAAAAAAATTTCAAATCTCGGGACAGGCATTTTTCGAAATTGCCGTGCCACTTGGATAAGGTTTTGGGTGAACTTTGGGATTTTTAGGGGAATTGAGGACTAAAGCTGGGGGTTTTCTTGAAAGATGCAATGGGATCTTATGAGATGAGCTTTAGAAAGGACCAGACAGTTTGCTGACTAACCTTGATTTTTTTTTTAGTCAGGGCTTTGATTAGTCATTTTATCCTTGAGATATTAAAATGAGTTATTGTTGCTTAATTATTTTCATGGATGAAGTTAATCATCAATGTGCCATCATGGTTTATGACTCTCAACGCTATAAACCTACGGCTCATCACACAAAAGAGCAGGAACAAGTTCATTTTTGTGAAGCCATCGAAAGTCACTGAGACCCTTCTCAAGTAAATCTGATTTTACAACTTCCTGAAATGTCCTGATTCTGATACGTATAGATATTTCTTTTCCGTTTTTTAATCTTTCACAATCTTTGATGATATTAAGCTCGTTCAAAAAAAACGTAGGTATGCCACCCCAGAAAACATATTAGTCCGATATGGAGGTCTGAGAAGAGAGAATGACGCTGAATTCTCAAGTGATGACAAAGTTCTTGAAGTGAATATAAGAGGAAGTTGGACTGAATACATTCAGATTCCTGTTAATGAGGCATATCTTTTATTTCTATTCTACTTCCTAAAAATCGCAATTAATGTATCAACATTATTTTTACTTACAAAACTTTTTTTCTTTCTACATATATTTGTGATATTCGTGCAGGCTGGGGTTACTGTAACTTGGGATGTAACCGTGGTTGGATATGATGTGTTGTACAAAGAAGAATTCATACCAGATGACGACTGCTCGTACAGAATCTTGTTACAGGAAAAGAAAATGGGAGAGAGTATAAGAAATTCATTTCATGTGAGGGAACCCGGGAAAATCCTCATGACCATAATCAACAGCACATACACAAAGAAGAAGGCTTTCTATAGGTATAAGATCAGGCCAACTGTCCTGATGTATGCGTTCGGTGATCCCAAACCCGGTTTTTGAGCTGCCGGCTGTTCTGTGAATACTTTTGTTGTTTTGTTTAAGCAAAAGTTGCATAAATTTTGAGTTTTGCAAAAGATGAGGTTTCAAGATGTATGATCTAGGTTTTGTTGTGGGCATAATGTTGACAATCAAAGTTAAGGCAATGTGTATTACTAATTCATCTGATTTCTTGATTTATTTCTTCAGGTCAATGTTATTCTGTATTGTTATTATGAATAGGTTTGGCTGAATAGCCATTGTAGAATACAGAAATTCTTGTGTGTGGCGGTCGACCAGTTATATTTTTTAAACAAAAATATGTGATTAGTATTGAAAATTGTAAAAACTAATGTTAACGTTAATATTTTGAGATTTTTTTGGGCCTGAGAATGAGTATTTCAGTTGAAGAGGAATTATTGTTTAATGCCACAATTATTGTAAAATGAGTTTGAGAATAATTTTTTCGGTTGGAGATAGTATAAGTAGGAGTAGAAAAGATTATAAACAAGGTTAAATAAGGTATAAACAAAATTCATAAGTTAATTTAAAAATATCAAAATAGATAAATAAAAGCCAATGCATAAATGGGGGGCTAATGGGACTAGTAAAATTTTATTTTCGGTCCAATATATTAACTTTTTCCAGAAACACAAATTATTGGGTTGAAACGGCTTATCTGTTGGGCGGGTTAACCGGTCATATTATTTGAATAAAAATACATTCTTATACAATTAAATGTCATTCTTCCATTTATGTTGTTTTTAAAGCATAACATTTTCTAATGGAAATATGCATATTTGTAAAAAGAGTATGTTAGTCTAATGGTTAGGCCATCATAACACAGACCAACTGTTTCACAAAATATTTTCAAGCTTGCTACATTAATTTGTAAGGAAAAAAAAACAAAAAAAAACCAAGATACACTAATCACGAGGGAGAAGATAAAATTCATTGTTTTATGTCTGACCTATTTTGGCGTCATCCGACATACGTTTCAAGAGGGCAACTCGTTGCTGGATTCTTCTCATCGAAACGGTCGTACCCACAAATTTTAGCCCAATCATAGCCTCTTTTCGTACTCCGTTTTCCATCCAAAATCATTTGAGATGTTTCCTATTCAGTTTAATTCCGGTGCTGATGGTGGGTGACCCACCTTTGAACTATTTTCGCCGAAATGATCATGTCCACAAAAATAAAATTTTCGGTTTAAAGCTCGATTTGTTATTATTCGAGCTTACCGAACTCAAACTTTTATATATTTGTTATTATTCGAGCTTACCGAACTCAAACTTTTATAGTTCGAACCAACCCTCATTTTGTGCCCATTCTCACACACACACCAAATAGCCATGCAACCCTCTACGAAAAAGCCATAGGTGTAAGCCACCGGACCTCACTCTCCCATGCACACCGAAACTTGGCAAAACCCACCCACTTACGTGTCCACCACGACACCCCCAAAACCCCTCTATAAAAACCCTACAAAACCCACACTTTCATCTCCACAACACAACACAAAAACAAATCAAAATCACTTGTTATCATTCCCACACCATGGCCAAGCCCAACAATCTCCTTCTACCCTTCTTCCTCACCTTCCTCCTCGCTGCCCAGGAGTCGTTCGAGCAACAGTAGGGCTCGTGCCAAATTCGCAACATCGATGGTTCGCAACATCGATGCTTGTGAGCCGTCTCATCGCATCCAAGCCGAAGGTGGCTTCACTGAGTTTTGGAACCACGACGAAGACCAATTCCGGTACTCCGGAGTCTCCATCCGCCGCCACGTCATCAAGCCACGTGGCCTCCTCCTCCCTCTCTACCACAATGCCCCCGTCTTGGTCTACGCCGTCAAAGGTCGGTCATCCCATCGGTCAAAATCGACTCAAAATAAATTTTCTCTTCTTTTTTAACTTGACTGTTTTTTGATTCTTGAATTTTTGCTGATTTTGAAGGTAAGGGCTTGTTTGGGGTGATGATTTCCGGGTGTCCGGAGACTTTTGAGTCTTCGTCGTCGTTCGAGAGGTCGGAGGAGGAGAGGAGCCGGAGCCGAAGGTTTAAGGACAGACATCAGAAAATCGAGGAATTCCGGCAAGGGGAGATTGCCGCCATTCCAGCCGGAGCAGCCCATTGGGCCTACAACGACGGCAATGAAGAGCTCGTGCTCGTCGTCTTTCACGACAATGGCAACAATGCCAACCAGCTCGATCAAAACCCGAGAGTAATTACTAATTCGAGACCGATTTTCAATTTTTCGGGATTAAAAAAAAGGGGAAAAATTAATTTATTTACTAATCACTCGAATTTGCAGTCGTTTTTCTTGGCCGGAAATCTGGCAAGAGGACAACTGCAAGAGCAGTACAAGCAAAGGGGACAAGGCCGGCAGCAGCCACATCAGCAGCTGGGGAATGTTTTCAGGGGTTTTGACACAGAGACTCTGGCGGAGGTTTTCAAGGTGGACGAGAAGACTGCAAGAAAGCTTCAGGGGAAAAACGACGAGAGGGGTCATATTGTGACTGGTTGATGAGGGACTTCAGGTGATTAAGCCGCCGTCGGAGTACAGCCGCCGTGAAAGGGAGGAGGAGGAGAGGTACTATGGTAGCAGGCCGGTCAACGGCCTGGAGGAGACTATCTGCACGGCCAGGATTAGGGAGGATCTCGACGAGCCATCAAAGGCTGACGTGTGCAACCCACGCGCCGGGCGGTTCACCACCGCTAACAGCCTGACGTTGCCTATTCTCAGCTACCTCCGACTGAGCGTGGCCAGAGGCGTTCTCTATAGGGTATGGAAAATTTTTCAGAATTTGGATTGTACATTCTTGAAAATCGTCGTTTGACCTTGAAAGATTGGAACTTTTTTTGTTTTCTCTTGAAAATTGTCGATTGACCCTGAAAAAGCGGAACTTTTCCATTCTCTGTTCTTACACAACGAAATTTGGCCGCGTAACATTCTTGAAAATTAGCAATTGAACCTGTAAAATTGAAATTTCTTTTTTCTCAGAACGAAATTCGGCCCAATCATTTCTTGATAATTGCCAATGGACCCTAAAAAATTNTCTCAGAACGAAATTTGGCCTTAAACATTCTTCAAAATCTCCAATTGACCCTGAAAAATCAAATCTTTTTGTTTTTACTTTTTACTCTGTTCTTACACAGAACGAAATTTGGCTCAAACATTCTTGAAAATTGCCAATTTACCCTGAAAAAAATCGAATCTTTTTTATGCTTCCGTTCTTGCACAGAACGGCATAATGGCGCCGCTGTGGTACACGAACGCGCACGCCGTGATCTACGCGACCCGCGGGGAGTCGAACACTCAGATCGTGGACCACACGGGACGGGCCGTGTTCAATGGGCGGGTGAGAGAGGGGCAGGCGGTGGTGGTGCCGCAGAACTTCGCGGTGGTGAAGCGGGCGTCGGAAGAGCAAGGGTTCGAGTGGGTGGTGTTCTACACCAACGACCAGGCTATGTATAGCACGCTGAGCGGGCGGACGTCGGCCATAAGGGGGCTGCCGGCGGACGTGTTGGCCAACTCGTACCAGATCTCGAGGGAGGAGGCGCAGCGCCTCGAGCTCCAGGCAGGAGACGCTGATCTTTAGCGGGACCCGCGGCGGCCAGAGGGGGCGGGCCGCGGCGGCTTAAGTAGTTTGGAGAGTTTGAGGTTTTTTTTCTTTTTTTTTTCTTTTTTTTTTTAATGTATGAGTGTGTGTGTGTGTAGGAAAATAGGTTGAATAATGAAAGTTTGTCCGGGCAGTGTATGTACGGTCGCCGGCGAGAGCTACTCTCTTGTGAGCTTGATAAATGAATAAAGAGCTGATTTGAGGTTTTGGCGGCTAACTATATTATGTTTGACTGATTAGGAGGGATTGGTTAGGTTGTGATTGGATATGAATTTAATTGATTTTTAATTGATTTGTTTTTAAATTAATTTAAAAAGGTGATATGATTAGTTATTAGTGATGTATTATAATAATATTTAAAATAAAATAAATAAAATTGATTTGATGTAAAGTATGAGTAAAAAGATTGAAAGCGATAGTGAGTTAAAATTATGCACTACATTTGCCAAAAAAGATATTTTTAATTATATCTTAAAATTATATATGTACAAAACTGATTTTATTTTCAACTTTTTATATTTGGTTCGTTTTTTTTTAGAAAACAAATTTTATTACATTGTAATTATATTCATATTCATAGAGTCAGTGTGTTTATTAATTTTTTAAGTATTTTAAATTCATATAATTAATAATTTAGAATTTATGTAGAAATTTATTATTTCTAATTCTATGAAATACAAAATTATTTTATTATGTTTAATTATGATATTCTCTTATATTTACTATTTTAAATAACATAACTTTTTTTATATAAGCTATTTAAATTGAGAAATAGTATTTTATAATATTTCTTAAAATTTATTTGATGTAATTTTATCCAAAATTTATGGGGAAAAATAATAAACTGATTATTTTATGGTGTATTAATGAATTAGATTTTCATAATTTTTATAAAATAATTCATATTGTTATAAGATTTTTTTTAAATTGATTTGATAATAAAATTAATTTTATTTATAAATATAGATGAAATTGTTTTTTATTTCTATATGCAATATGGATGTCAAATCGAATATCGTTAAAATATAATTATTTTGGTAGATCAGATATAAAAACTAAAATACAAATAAAAAGTTTATAAAGTTTTAAAAATAAAAAGAATACACATTTATAACTATTAATATATGAATTAAATAAAAAAATGTAAGAGTAGTATATGATAACTTAAGAAAAAAAAAAAGTTAAAATTTATAATAACTCTCAAGCCTAATAGTCAAAATCGATCATGAACATGTGTCAATACGAAACACCAATTTATGTCACATAAGTTACAAAGCACACAAATCTGTCACTTAAGTTCAGTGCATTCTGAATTATATATAAGGAGATATATCACAAAGATACTAGTATAATACACCAGTTTATGAAAGTGTCCAAGTGATATTACATACTTTTCAAACTATATGCAACTTCATTTG